TGTGAATGGAAGATACGAGATACTTACGGCATCTTCAGGTAAAAGAACTTGCTCGTTAAGTAGTTAGCCGCTGCTAGTTTCGTTAGGAACCAGTCTGCCAGCTTCAAGGCCTACTCTATTCTCATCCTGGCACATCTGAAATCTGTACTTGGGAAGGATGTTCAAATCTGCCTCTGATGCACCTTCCTGCATTTTTGGACAGCTGTATAATAAGAGAAAAAAACAATTATTCGAATAAGTAAATTATCTTGTGTCATTTGAACACATACCTGGCCAGCGATAGCATAAAGGATTGCAATGATACAAGGTAAGCAGCAGCAGAGAGCAATCCCGATAAGACAAGCTAGCACAACACAAAATATGGCAAAGATTACATCGAACGCCAAGAATACCACAGCCAACCTGCACCACTTTCTAGATCAGAGATCTCTCAAATCTCTTACAGTGATTAATTCAAGGAAATTTTATGAAATTTATATATCAAATATACCTCCACAAGTTTAGTTCCTGTGGAGCTGTACTGCTTTAGGAAATTTTGACTCTACTGTATTATGTGATAATCAGTACATGATTTTGGTGCCAAACACATGATACAGCCACAAAATTCTTCACTTTATATTTATTTATAGATCAATATTTCATCTAATATTTTCCACAATTTCTCCAGCAACATATTTACCTAAAAGTTTTATTTGTATTCAATGTACGTGCAAAAGTTATCATCAAAACATATTTAAAATGTTTCCATAAACTTGACCAGGTGTCGAGCTCTGAAACGGGTATTGCATGCATAAGTAGAGGACAAAAAACAGCATTCTTGTGGCACAAAAAGGTGGGACATTTTAGGAAAGATGGTTTTTAAATTCAAAGCAAAAAAAAAAGACAATAAGATATCATAACATTGTTCGTCGCTTCAAACATCAACAGAACAATCTTAAAGTAACACAAGAAATAGGATAGGCTGAACATGGCATATCATGCATTAATGCCAATAATTTCAAGGCATATGTCTAAAATCTATTCCATTTCAGTGCAAAATTTTATTTTACTCTCTGAGAAGCATTCATACCCGAGAACAACAAAGCGTTACCTAGGCAATACCAATCTGAGATTCCTTTCTAACTAGTGAGCATTAGTCTCATGAAATTATTTATCTTCGTTGTCCGTACTATAATTGCTTTTTATCTTTCTGTATTACGAGTGTTATATATTTATATTATAGCAATAAGAGACCGTACAGAATGAAGCTTTAAACTAAGATGGGTGGCAAGACTTACCAGTATAAACGTGGAGCACTTTCCAGAAGAATTTCACCGCCCGAGACAACCCAGTAAAAGCCAACTATCCACCAAATGAACGAGGCCATAGTGTTCACAGATTCACATCGTTTCACCCTACTGAGAAATGCACGATTTTAGCCAGGAGTGCAAACAGAGTATCTTAAACCACAACTTACACTAAAATATAAGCATTTAGAAAATAATTATTAAAATATATGACTCTCAAAACCCCAGACCTTTCACCACAAATAAACCAAATCACCATAGAAGTTAGTTTTACAACATCAGAGAGAATCCAACATACTAAATCACTCAAATATATTATCAAGAATTTTTATGCTAAGCAATCTTTGTCCAACTAGAAACTAACTATTGCTAATGTTATGAAGTGACAGAACACTCAAATGAAACATTTCAAAACTCCGAAAACCAAACAAGCTCACGAATAAAGCACAAACCTACACAATCAAATACCAAACTGCGACAGCGAGAATGAGCCTAAAATACGAATCTAACAACCATTAAAACCATTCAACGAACATGGTAGAATATATGACATCACGCAAAAGGGGAAATTGAAAAAGAAATTCTAACCTGGAGCTATCGGTGATAGTGAAGAGCCCGGTTCTCTCTTCTTCCTCGTCCTCTTCGTCATTCTCACTCTGTTCGGTTTCGTCTCTACTCCGGCGGTCGGCTCTATTTCTATCTTGCCGGGAATTTCGCCGATTATACTCTATCCAAACAAGGACTACATGCACCAAACACTGCAGGGCATAGCCACACACCCAAACCCTAATCGGCACGCCGGGATTCTCCTCGGCCGCGCAAATCAGCATAATCACCGACACAATCACGAACGACAGATTCCACATAATGTCTAGGGCGACGACGGGCTTCGAGTAACCCCAGTCGGCGCGGCGCTCCTCCAGCTCACGGGCGGCCGTCTCGCGGACCATCACCGAGGCTCCGCCGCGGCGCTGGGTGGTGGAGGCGACGCGTGAGAGGAGGAGGGAGAGGGATGAGGGACGGGCGGCGGCGGCGGAGGAGGAGGAGGAGGGCTGCCGCGGCCGGAGGAGCGGGGAGGTGGGGATTGTGATGGAAGTGATGGAGTTGTCGGAAGACATTTTTGGGGGGAGGGAGAAGAAACACAAATTGATTGAGCTCTGGGAGAAGGAAATCACGAGTGTGTGAGAGTGATGACTGACGCCATGGATTGAGAGTAGGTTTTCTCTCTCCTCTCTCTCTCTCTATCTGCAATTTTGGGTTAGATTGACTTTTTCTGCCCGAATTACATTTTTTGCTATTTATACTTAAAAGATATTATATACATATCTATCTGTGAATATACAGACATTTTATTTTTGGTCCATTAGATATTCATACAACCCCTTAGTCTTACAAACAATAGGGGTAGATCAAAAATCAAATTTGTCATTTAGATAAAAACTCATATTTTTCTAAATTTCATCAGTACCCTCAATTAAAATCTCACAAATCGCATTACTTACCTTTTGAAATGATATCAAATTCCTCTTTATTTTCCCGTTAAAACCACTATCCCCACTCAACCCACTGCCACAATTACTGCAATCGATGAGATAATCTCATCACAATTATGATTTTACATTAGTATACATAAAAATTTCATATAACGGACAACTGTATTATTCAACTACATAGTATATTAATAATTTCAATATAGTACATTAATCTGCTATGATAGTATATTACAGTTATAGTAGTAGTATGAAATTGTGTTACAAACAATATACCACTGAAATGACAAGAACATTGAGAACAAAACCAACGTAAAGTAATTCCAACATAACCAATAAAATACTTAAAACACATCATAACACAATCAAACCAATACGTCGAGTTAAAAAACTCTAGTACATTAATAATCTCATAATAGTATAATAAAATGATAATGGTAGTATCATACGGTATTCATAATAGTATAATACTGTATTACAACGGTTTAACACTTAACTGAAGTTACCGAGCCATTACATCGTAAACACGACATTAATTAAACATATCAAATCTTAGGGTGGTTTGGAAAATAACAACCATCGGAATCATTTGAATTCATTGAGTTTATGTCCCCGTCGCTATCATCAGGAATGCAATCGACTTCTTCTTCGAACAACTGCACAACGCCTGCATTCAATGTCTCACTTCCAGTGGCATCAACGGCTCCAACTAGTTCACCCCCACCCCCTGTTCCATCATCATCAGAAACAACAACTTCAACATCATATGAACTTAAAAAATGCAGAATACAAATAGTTGATTAAATAGACTACCAAATACATTCCAATGTACTACCGAATACATTAAAATCGACTGTTGTAAACAAACAAAACAACTATTAATCAGTTTCAACTTCATCAACTCGACCACACCAAATATTTATTTCGATTACTGCGTAAACCAACTACGACACTCATATAAAACAACTCTGGTCAGACTACGTGAACCCTCCTCTTGCGACTACGTGAATCCTCCTCCAAGACAAACATCATCAGTCAATAACGATGTATAGATCACGACGTAATTTTTTTTTAAAACGATCTACATTAATACCAATTGAATCAACACATCAAGAAAACGATGAAAACGCTCAGATCCGAAAATACTACCACGCCGGTGAAAAATTCTTCGTAGCCGGATTGTACACGATTTGATAATGATGAAAACGATGAAACCACCAATATACTCACGTAATTTTAATCCGTGATTATAGGCAACGTATCAACAATCCCATATCACGTCGTTAAGGAAAAAACTGCCGTCCAAAAATAAAATAGGGGTATTATAGGGAAATTAAATAATATATTGTGCCAAGTTGGCATAATTGGGTGTATCTCAAAAAGGGAAAAATCAAAATGAATCTACCTCATTGGAAAATCTGAACAAAATCCTTTATTTTTTTGAGAAGTGAATATACACAGTGTACACACACTTTGGATTGACCGAATTTAGATAAATGTTGGGGGATGTTTGCAAATTGCAATAGCAAATAATCTTCACAAAATATAACATCAATTATTTAATAACCTCACTTAAATAATAATTTATCTCGGCCCCAACTCGATAAAAAATATTAAATTATTAACTCAATAATTTAATAATTCGTTAAATTAATAGAATTTTTCATAGTCCCGACAGTATTAATTTATAGAGGTTTAACTGTATAAGGACTATAATTACGGTCACCCATGAGGTAATGTCATATTACGAAAAAATATCTCATGTTTGGGTAGTTACAATTACCTTTTAACTATGAATCTTCTTACTTGTTCATCCTTGCAGTGTCAACTTTAGTGGAATATTTCAGATTATGTGGAATATTCTTCAGTTTGTATGCATTTTAACCCATTCGAACTCCACATTTTGAAACAAGATGATCATAACATGTGTCTTTTGGCTTGTAAATATAAGATTGTGGTGCATCAGAACTGCATGATTGCACAAAACGAGTACAAATTATAGAATATTCCACGGAATCTAGTAGGTTATATTGAATTTGACGCTATAATGGTAAACGTGTAAGAAGATTCATAGTTAAGGATTGTTGTAATTACCTAGACAATAAGGGTTTTTTTGTAATTCTGTAATTTACCCATTAAAATATAGGGATAATTAGTTAAAAACCCCCAAAACATTTGAGTATATTATGATGGATATAATCTCATTTAGCATATTAGTGAAAGCCCCCCAATTTCATATTTCAATTTAGCATAAATCCGAATTTTAAGTGGTGTGCCTATATTACCCTACTATTTTTCATTCCGCTCTCCATTAAACCTCTACCACTCTTTTGCTCCTCAAAATCTCGGTCCCGACTTCGTATCTCGCCGGAGTTGAAGGACACATAATGGAAGTACATCTATGTTACGTCGAAGGGGAAGAGTTAGATACACGTTCAGTGCCCCACTCCTTTGAACCTTTGTCGCTCGATTTTATAGTCATTTTCTTGAATATAGTTGCTTTCGATTAAGTAGTTGTTTTGGATTAAATAGTTGGTTTAATCAAAATGTAGTTGTTTTGGATAATTTATTAGTTGATTTTCGACAATTTTATATTTGATTTCGAGAATTTTATAGTTGATTGTAATTTTTTATAGTTGATTTGTAGTAGTTTCATTTTTGGTAAACTTGCTATTGAAAACAACTATTTTTAATAGTTGTTTTTATAGTTGATTATGGCACAAAAAAAAATAGTTGATTTCAATAAAAATAGTAGATTTAGTAATTTTGTATTTGATTATGGGGAAAAAAGCTTAAAAAAAGTTTTGAAAATAAAATTATATATATATATATATATATATATATATATATATATATATATATATATATATATATATATGTGTGTGTGTGTGTGTATTTATATATATATCAACTACGAGAAAACTAAAAATTACAAAACAAATAGTTAATAAAAAATAATTTATTATTCATTTTTTAATAAATGAATAAAAATGGAAATTAAAATTATATAAGAGAAATAATTAGAAAAAATAAAAAATCCATCTGCGTATTAGTGGGAAATGCTTTAATGGGAAGTTAATAGTGAAGAGGGCATATTTGGAATAAAGAATCACTAATAATGAAAAAGTGGTTGGATCCACCCTTATTAAAAAAATACTAGAGGGGATTCTCACTAATAGTCCCTAAAATATAATCCAAATTAATTAATAGGATATCCAAATGTTTTAAATAAAAAAAACAATTATTTCATCTCCTCTTTCAAAAAACATGTTTAAACTAAAAACACTAAAGAATTGAAAAACGAAAGAACGGTATACTGAGATCGAATTTCATATGCTAACACGTTTTATGTATAACGCTAAAAATTATGTATTGTATTATGTTTATCAACAAAAATATGATGCCACAATAATATTTGATTATCAATATTTTTTTCTTTTATTTATGAAATTCATATACTCAATTTATTAGATTAAATGAAATACAATAACAACTTGTACTCGAATAAAAGTTTACTGATTTGTAAACACACTCAACTAATTAGGTACACCGTACACCCTCTCCTTTAATTTTATCAACAACAAAAAAAAAATTTAATGTCCCAAAATTATATTTATAGATAAAATAAAAAAATTATAGAGAATTTAGTGTAATTGCATTTTATATTTTGTTGAACATTGTTTAACGAATCCATGTGGATTGCGTAATTGGATCGTCCAAAATATAAATGATGATAGTTTTGGGCCTATCCATAGTTTAATAGGCCCAAATAAATTGGATCGTATTATTTAATCTATCACCTGTTTTAAAAAAATAAATTGAGAAAAGTCCTTTTGAACATTAAATATAAATTTTAACAAGTAATGTGAAATTATCTATCCAAATTCAAATGTAACAACTCTACATAATTTGACCATTATATTATAGGCAAATTTCGGGTCAAGTTAAGAAAGATTCCCTCTTGTTTGGGTAATTACAATTACCTCTTCTTTTAAATATTTGTACATCAAATTTATGTATTTCGGTTTTTTACCGAACCAAATCGTATATTCAGTTCGGTAACGGTATGAAATGTTGGCGCAACGAAATTTTGGTTCGATTTTTACCGATTTAACATTTCTAAATATAACTTTGGAGGGGTATTTTCGTAAGATAATACATAGTTGAGGGAGGTAGCTGTAATTACCCAAACATGAAGCGATTTTTTGTAATTTGACCATAAGTCAGGGGTGGCCGTAATTTGCCCTATAATATACATTGTTTACAAAATATAAATGAATATCACTTATTCATGTGTTCGGTGTCTGTCTATTCACTTCGTGCAACTACTCATGCATAACATACATACGCTCGATAGGCATCGGAACTTGTCACACATAGTACTTAGTCTAGTGTGATTTACGTCTCTCGTATAGTTTGCAACCACACTAGGCTAATCATGCATGACGAACTATAACTAGCAACCGACGTCGGCAAATTTCTAGTGACTTTGATCCCGTTGCACTTGAGTTTAGGTTCATAACAAATTACGTAATTTTGATAAATTAAATGAAAACTTAATTAATAATTAATTTCTTGTGAAGCACTCCACCAAACATCCGTGCCTTACGGCTTTTTCCTCACCTAATACCTCAATTAGGAATATTTTGAGTTACAACGTTAGTACAAAGCCAACTAAGTCATACTAAATCCAGCTTTCTTAATCTTAACTAATCTCTTAATTAGGAACATAATTCAAATTATGGACCCATCTCCATGCAACAATTAGACAGCTTACTATGATGATAACTTTTTTTTTTTTTTCTTCTTAGGA